TTTTTGGTCAAGGGATTTGCCATAAAAATTTCATTCCAATAATAATTTACGAGATAATTTATATAGATTGGTTTTTGAAACAATTTTAGAGTAAATATTTTGTACATCTTAAGTCTCTGCAAATTATTCATATTTTTTAATTGAAAGAATTTTATAATAGCTTAATCTCTTATAAATTCAGTGGACTGTATTTTGTTATGTTCTTTTTTTATTTATTTTTTATTATAAGTGGTCGTAATATAACAATATTCAAAATATTATAGACAAAATATTGACTTTATATTTGAGGAAAGAAAAATGCCACACCTAGCTTTAAACCACCGTAAATATACAGGGTGGCCCATTAGAGCGAGGAAGTCCAATACCGTCGTCGTTGTCGAAGATGTGAAAAATGTTTTATTCATATGTTTTAAGGTTTATAAAGGGGCGTATCCTAAAATATTTTGTTATATACAGGGTGTCACAAAAAAAGTTATGGTAAAGTTAGTTTTATTTTTTTTAATTATTTTACATAATTCTATATACATTATTCTATATAGGGTATTTTTTATGGCGTCACCAAAATCGGAATATTTAAAATGGTATATCTCAATTTTTTTAAATGCAACATTCTGTATTTTATTTTTCTGCCAGACGCAGAATTAAAAAGTGAACATTTTTTTATTTAAAGTGTTTCTAAATTTTTAACGGTTTTGCAGGTATTCGCAGTATAATATTACATATATGGCTCGTTCAACAGTAAATTTTTATTAATGCCACCTAATATTTTTGTCTGATATTTTATCGTTGAAAATCCCATATGTAATGAAATACAGAAAATATTTGCAAAACGGCTAAAAATTTAAGAACACTTTAAATACAAAAAATGTCCACCTTTTAATTCTACATCTGAAAGAAAAATAATATACAAGGTGTTGCATTTAAAAAAATGAGATACAACATTTTAAATATTATGATTTTGGTGACGCCATAAAAAATATCCTGCATACGATAAAGTAAATTTTTCTACACGAATTTATTCTGGTATCCTTCATGTTTAAGAAAACATAGCTAAGTATTAATAAAGTTATATTCACTCTAGTTTTTTACCAGTTTTCGTATATAATGTTTTTAACCAAAGTTTTAGTAAATAAGAAATAGAATGGCAACACCGCAGTGTGCTTTAAATAAAGACAATGTACTATATGCAGAATTTTATGCCGAATCCAGCTATATACAGAAAATTAAACTTGTTTTAAATAAAAAAAAGTTGTAGAAAATCTCTGAAATAGATAATAATATAAAAATATGTCATTATATATTTTTTCCGCATTTCTTCACATCAGAAAATTTTCAGATACAGAAGAATTGTTACCTACACGAAATGTGAAAATATTCTGTTTTCAAGCAAGTTTTTACTCGATGTCAATTTTTTTAATTTTATTTTATTGTGAACTCATATTTTCCTAAATACATATCTGTGAAACTATGGCGAGTGCCACGACTATACTTTGCCTAGTTAATAGACCACGACTATACAGCTACGTCAGTGGTCACGAGAGGCGAGAACAAGGTCATATAAAGTGGCAGAAAAAGAACAAAGTATTTGGCAATGAGTAAAACTACTAGTTTCCTTATACTATGTTATTACTATTAGTCCCTACAGCAATTTCAAATAAAAAATAATCGTATTTAAGATAATTTCAAAAAAACTAATTTTAAAAAGTTTTAACATCCTGTAATTCTAAAACTATGCATTTCCATACCCATGTTTATAGGAACTTTTTTTCATATTTTTTTATGGGGAATCAATGAGTACTTTAAAAAAGTTAATGATATTATTTTTTTTAAAGGTTGCAATTAGACTTGGATCAAGGAAAATGAATAAAATTGCGTTTATCTTCTCAAGGAGGCTGAAATAGACAAAATATCAAGAGACAAATTTTAATCGGCATTAAACTGCTTACGCTATTTCGCTGACAAGAGACAAAAAATTGGCGCCGGGAGGCACGTATAGCCGCGCATACTAAAATATGTTAATAAAAAGTTGGTAGGCAGTTATTTTAGGTAGGCACTTTCAAAGTAAAGGAATTTTTCCAATTTTGGTCCGCGGTTATTTCCCCTATCCGCCACCTGGGGTCGCGTTCGATGGGAGTTTTTTCTCAAAAACGGACTACGGAAACACGGAATATCTCAAAAACTGCGACTTTGACTGATTTTGATGTTATTACAAATTTTGTTGCAAATATTATTCCTAATCTTAAATTGAAAACCGCTTTTCGCTAGCTACTGTAATTTTGGAGTTACGATTTTTAAAAATTTTTAACCCCCTCCCATACCCCCTCACCAATCCTCCACCCCCACCAAAAACTAATGGCCAGATTGTCGGGTGCCACAGTATTTTTGTGCCAAATTTGGTTAAAATCGGTTTAGCGGTTTTTGAGTTATCGTGTTACAGACGGACAAACGGACAGACAGACAGACACCATGAAAATATTTTGTATTTAGGTCATTTATGACCCAAATAACTCATTTTGAGTGAAATTAAAAAAACTTTTTTTGCCGATCTTAATAGCCTACCATACCTGTTGGTATGTACGGCTAAAAAGTCAATCGCGTACATGCTTTTTTTAAAAAAATATTCCAGTGATAACACATCCTTGGTGAATATGTCGACGGTATTTTAGGTTTAAAATATGCCGCATAGTAACTTTTACCCTGAAAATTTTATTCGAAACGCTAAAAATACTTGGAAAGAAGTTATAATAAATCGAAAAAATATTAAGACTTTAACACTCTGTAGCTACGAAACAAAGCAGAATCGGACCTACGTTGATATGAAAAATAAATCTTATTTCTACGTGAAGAATCTCCTCACGAGAGATGACACATGTTTTTTGTAATATCCTGTATAAATTGAATGCCATCTTTCTGTTATAAATACTTGTATTAGTATAAATTAGATACTTACTTGTATAAGTTTATCTACAAGTTATAAGGTAACGTCGCTAACGGAAATGTCATCAAACTCTTAAAGAAGCCTCCTGTTGTAACATTATACGGGCATGGGTCAAATAACGCGTTCAATAAATTGGCAACAGGAAATCTGCGGGTTAACGAATCAGTATATGGTGTCACCTAAAAAGGGATAAAAACTTTCACTTCTTTCATTAAAAGAGAACTTTATAAGTAAGGCAAGTTATCGTTTCAGATTAATTGAAAATATTTTTTTTGAAGAGGCGTTAAAGTTGTATTTTTGTATAGAATTTCATGTCATTTGAAATAATCATTTAAAAGTTGTTTGCAAAAATCTACCTTCAAATTAGTAAAAAAGATTTTTGGAACTTCTGAAAATGTTACGATGGTTAAACGGCATTTTGTTAGAAAAAGTATTCCTGCTGTGTTATATTTTTCAATCTCCGGAAAGTCTATATGGAATAAGTCAAACAGTTTAAAGAATAAATTAGGCAGAGCTTTGAAACTAAAGACACGATTTTTTGGCACGGCTGAAGGCATATGGAAGTGTGAAGACAAAAATAATCGAAGGGGAAGAAAACAACAATAAATTGAACATTCTTCATGTCGAAGAAAAGCAAAACATGTCTCTCGTCTATTGGGGTTACAGTAGGAAAAACTACCGGATCTTTTGCTGAACGACTTATTCCTGGTATTCAAGAACCGTTTTTATGGGCATCTTAAATACAGAAATTTAAATGAACTGAAAACGGCATCTCTGTGGAATGCTAAATATTCTCCCCTTAACAGCTTTGTATTGTGAGGCATGTATTTTACATTCATTTGGGGTATTGTTTGGCTGTGAATGGGGAATTATGTAAACATTTTATTAATTAGTATAGTTTAATAAAGTTTCTTTAGTTACAAATGTTTTTTTATTTGTTAAATTATTGTGGATGTATGTGGTATGAGCGAGGTCTGCGAGTGATCGAGTAATGAACAGCAATCAAATCAAACTCCGCTAATGCTATTCTCAGTTCAACTCAGTTGCAGATGATCATTCCAATTATAAAAAATAACCATCTTTTCCAAACCATATAAATTCTTGTAAACAAAAGAAAATTTGACATGGAATTTGACAATGACAAAATCATATGTTTGCTGGTATTCTAATTGTAACTTTGTCTGGGCCGTATTATAAATGTTTACTAATTTGAAGGTAGATTTTTGCAAATAACTTTTACATGCCTATCCCAAATAAAACGAAATTCTAGATGAAAGTACAAATATAACGCCTCTTCAAAAAAGTCTAATACAATTTTTGCATCAAATTAACTGGGGAGATAATATTTGACCTTTTCAAAATTTACTTGGGATTTTATTACGTCCCGTGTTCCGACGCACCACACGCTATTTTCTACTTTAATCTGATTTTCAACTTAAAAAAAATGTTTTAAGATATCTCCTTTTTGCTGCCAGCAAAATACTGTATACACATAACTATCTAGAATGGTTATAAACACTTAATAACCCAATTGAATCGGCGTGAATGAGCAGTGTGTCTCAATAGATTTTACACTCTTGCCATGGAACAACGACAGAGTGACCAGACAGTCACCATCATCATCCACTCGCATCTTTTAACGTCGCTTAACTTCGGTGATCTATCGGGAACCGGTGTTTCGACGTAGCTAGACCGTTGCCCTTTTCAGATTTAGATTAGTCCACACTTGATAATGATCAATGATACATCTGGCCAAAACGTTGTAAAAAAGATGATATTTTATTTTTTACGTTTACTTATAGAAACTAACGCACATAGAGGAGAAGTATATTGTTTACATTAGTCGTTTACCCAGTCATCACTATTTACTTTACGATTCTTATCTGCCACACAGCAAATATTTTTAACATTCTCTACCTTTTTCAATAAGCCGTTAAATATCACATCGTTATCTTCATTATCACTTGTTTAAATCTAATCTTTATCAAAAATAAGGGGAGATAAGGAAAATGTTACGAGATCAAAGTCATCAACAGCCAGATTGTAACTTTTTTTAATGAGTTCTTTACTGACACTTTCTTTGTTATCGGAGTTTTCAATCATCGGATAGTGGATGTGTGTTCAAATAGTATTACTTTGTGACTGTCAATTACTGAAGAATTTGTACATTATGGAATTGTTGATTAATTCTACCAAATTCAAATTCCTCTACAAGAAATTGATTTTCGAAAAGAGGATTAGACAGAGTTGAACGTATCGATCGTTGTTGCCCTTTCTCACAAGATTTCGTAATAGAGCAATCAAACTAGATAGATCGTATCAATATTGGTTTAAATCTGAAGAGGCTAAATCTAAAGATAACAAACAACTTCAAACTTGGGTATCAGTTTCAAGATTTTTTCAAATATTCCAATTTGATTTGAAAATTTCAAATTTAATCGTTCGATTGTTTTCGAGGCGGTATAAGTGCTTTAACTTGGTGTTGAAAAATCGGAAATTAGTGCGAAAATGGCTACTTACGAGAACATTTTTACGCCGGATGTATTGTTATATGAGGAGAATGTCGAGTATACTTCGGCAAAAAAACGGAAAAGGATAGAGAGTTTTGCTCTTTGCCACGAACTATGGAAACTGAGAATGGATATTATAAAGAGGCGAGGTAAGGCACCAGATCTTAAGTTTTTTAGGTAATATCTTAATATAGGCGATACATATTTTTATACAAACAATGCAATCTGCTGTATTGTACTGCATAGTCTCTATAATCTAATTAATCAAATTACCAAACTAGAAAATTAGAATTAAATATGAAGGTGTTTCTCCTAGTCGATAATAAGTAAAATTGTTGTTAATTTTACTGTTTTCGTGCAAGAAAGATACAATAGGTATATTTTTTATATTTTATTCAAAATTTTAACAAAGCGCCTTCATACATCATTTCTTGAGTTCTTTTCATGATCTTGAGAGAGTTTTGGTGAAATAAAATTGTTTATCAAAATTTTAATACCAAAAATTTAGAATGCAGCATTTGGTGTTATGAAATAATATGTTAAGAATGTTAAAAGATATACTACAATACACTAAAACAATATCTTTGAACTTGAATCGTTCTTTTCGCCAATCATATCAAAATTATCCTCAGATGATTTACAGCTGTTCAGTCCATGTTAGATTGTTAAGGTAAAATTTGCGGCAGTCCTGGTCATCAAAGAGGAAGACTATCAAAACTATACAGGGTCTAGTAACAGGGCAATGCAAGTTTAATATACATCTAAATCTGATGGGATTGACGGCCGAAGCCATGTGCAGATTTTGTCAATAAGAAGATTAACTCAATAACCGTCAATTCCAAGTTGGTTAAAGAATGCCAAGAGAAGCTGAACAAATTAGGCAAAGAAATAGTCCTCCGACTCTGGGTACCAGCCCACCAATGGTACAAGCAATGGTACCAGTCCACCAATGGTTGTGAAAAAGGTTATGAAGGTTACGAAAAACAAACGATCTAGCTAGAAAATGAGCGAACACTCTACTAATTGAACCAGAACTGTTCTGTTTCCTAAGTGGAAATCAACTTAAAGTAGAACTCAAGAACCTGGAAGACTCCATCCTTAACCTGGAATGGGAATCTTCCAACGGTGTAAGACACTCGAAGAAATTTCTCAGGAGTTATTAATGAAAAAAATCAAAAATTTTCCTAGTCACATCAAAAATCAAATCTAATCTAACTCAGGTGCAAAAAGTATTCCATGTCTTGTACAATTGCTTGATAATGTACCTCAAATTAACTTAATCTCATATCGACTAAGAACTTCATGTTATTCCGTTTATAACCAAAAAAAATCAAATCAATCAAGTGAAAATAGTTTATTTGTTTGTTTTGTAATTCAATAGATATTGACGTCATTTTTGCGCTATATCAGTTAACTAGGCTATTAATATATTATTTTTTGTTCATAATTGTTCATATACAGTGCGTTTCTATTATTTAACATTGGTTAGCTGAAGAAGGGACCTACAGTTCATGGCCAAATTTAAACGACTCTATTTGAGTTGCTTTACTAAACAAATACGTCCGTTGTCACTGTCTTTCTTGTAGTGTAGCTTGATGGTTGCTTTATTTAAATACTGTTCTGTCTTTGGGAGATTCCTACATATATACAGAGGTGCTAATGGAACCATCGCATCGTTGGCATTGTTTCTACTGACGGTACAACATCCAAAAATGGCAGACGAGAGTTTATCTTTTGCTAAATCCTAAATCTGATGGATTCTGATGGATCTTTGTGAATTGATGTGATTGAGAAAGGAATCCAACTTCCTTTTTTCCAGATTTTAGGTTTGACGACTGCAGTACTAATATGAGTAGCATTGGACTCAAACCATTCCATATATATTTACTATCACTATCACTATCAACCATCATTTTAGACATAAAACGTATCTTTAACTTGTAAGTAAGAATGATGCAGACATCACCTGAAGAATTCCACCCTAAGAGGCGGCGAATTTCTTTCGCAGAACGTTACATCATACCTCAATCTAGTCTCAATGAAGTCCAAGAAGTTTATATCAAATCAAACGGTTTTTTTATTAGAGCTGGGTACTTAAATTTTACATAATTTACTGAGATCTAAGAGTGCTATAGCCTTAGATCATTCGTATCCAAAATCATGAGTATTTGGGCCGAAAACTCCGAACCAATGGGCACCTACCCTAGCATCATTGAGATAGAAGTCTACGCTATCGAAAGATGCGTACAACTTCTCTTAGATAGGAACTGTCGAAAAAAATAAATAGCCATCTTATCCGATAGTCAAATAGCAATTAAAGCGATGAACTCAGTAAATGAAATTATCAATTCGAAGTTGGTCAAAGAATACCTAGAGAAGCTGAACAAATTAGGTAAAGATAATAAAATCCTCCTATTCTGGAGCCTACCAAAGAATAGAAAGCAATGAAAAAACAAACGATCTAGCTAGAAAAGGAGCGAACATTCCACTAACTGGGCCAGAACTGTTCTGCTTCCCAAGTGGAAACTTCCCAACTTAAAGCGAAACTCAAGATCCTGGAAGACTCCATCCGTTACCTGGAATGGGAATCTTCCAACGGTCTAAGACACTGGAAGAAATTTCTCAGAATTTGCGATCGAGAAAAATCAAAGATTCTCTTTGATTTAAGTAAGAATCATCTACGGATTGTCACGGGAATTTTAACAGGACAATGTTTCCTCAACGAACACCTCAATAGATTGAAGCTAAGAAACAAAAGCGAATGCAGGTGTGGGGAAAATGTGGAAACACCAGAACACCTCATCAATGAGTGCGTCGAGACGACATCAATTCGTGCTATAACTTTGGTACGACTGATATCGGAGATGGAGAACTACCCCTGTAAAACGGTCTCTTTTGTCAAAGCCCGTGACTCTTTGATGAGTTATAATCCAAGGAAAGGCGACACTTTATCTATAAAGTTGCGGGGATTAACTTCTCCTCTCAGTAGTTCAGTAGTTTTAGAACAGTGATTCCCAAAGTGGTCCAGGTGGACCCCCAGGGGTCCACGGGAGACTTGCTGGGGGTCTACGTAGGCGTGAACAAAAAATGGGGGTCCATAAGATGTTAATGGGGGTCCACGAAAATTTATCTGCTTTTGATAGTAAAGAGCAAAAATGTAAGCATAGTTTTTATAAGTTCCTACCTACATTGTTTTAAGTACCTATCTAAGCAGATAATATTTTAATAAGGCAAGCGACTGTTACTTGTCCAAACTTGCGTATTCGATATTACGTACAATTTCGTGTACAGACTTGCAAAGCGCTATCCGCCCGACAATGCTTAATGCTTGTTCAGACATGAACTTGATCACCACTATAAATACTTGATGCCAAAGGCAAACGCATTCATTTGTTTCCGGAATTTCGAAAAAAAAAAGGCGGAATTTGGAAAAAAAAGTTGTGAGAAAATTTATATCTGTGTTTGCTAGTGCCGGAGAAAAGTAAGTAACCTATCTTTTTTGTTATAGTACTTAAGTATTTTGTTTACGTGTACTAGTCGGTTGATCACAACGGCCTGTATAGATAGGTAACTTAGTAACTTACAGATATTTTAATTGTCCTCTTTCGATTTGAAGACAAACACAGCACGTTTTATTCAATTGTTTTTCACGAGAGAAACACTGCCTCTCTAAAAGGCCGAATAAGCAATATTGCAGAGCAATTAATTTTGTAATTGTTCTTGCAAATAACTACTAATTTTATAAAACAGTAATTTCATAATCATTTTAAATTGGTTTTGAAGTAACTATTTTATCAAAACTATTCCTTTTCGGAAAGAGCGAGCGGTGCGCGGGCGACGGGAAAAGGGCGGGGCTTGGACTTCGATGCCAGTTTGTCACGTTTTAACAATGAAGCCGCAGACAAAAATACGCAAATACACGGAGCGCGTGAACTCATTGATTTAATAAAATGTTAGTTATCGTTTTTATGGACAATTTTGGGATTTCGACTTTTATTTTTCCTACACAAATATGATCAGTATTCGATACTGAGTACCAATTTTTATTTATACTATTAAAAATTAGTGGTAAATTATGTACTTAAAATTGATACCGTTTTGTGAAAACGTCTGTATTTGTCTCAGCGGTTTATTAGTTGGTCCCTTTACAAGCCGTAATTCTATTTCCGCGTGCTGACAAAGGCTGCGGTGTGATACCTATATTCAGAAAAAAAAAACTTGGTTACTAAAACATTTTTTTTTTACAGGTAAGGTAACTGACACGAAACATGGCTACAGCAAAGAAAAAATGTCGACAATATAGTATCGATTATTTGAAATATGGTTTTGTTCCATCAGAGGCAGACAAACAATTGCCCATGTGCCTATTATGCAACAAAGTTTTGAGCAATGACTCTATGAAACCATCAAAGCTCGAAGATCATCTAAAAAGGTGTCATACTGATAAAATAGGTAAAGATTTAAAATATTTTCAAACATTGAAAGAAAAATATGGAAAGAGACCCACCATGCACAGTATGTTCGCTTCAACATCTCAAAGTAACGATGATGGCTTGCGGGCATCTTACAATATCTCATTACTTATAGCAAAATCTGGAAAACCGCACACTATCGGAGAACAATTAATTTTACCCGCTGTTGAAGAGGTTTTAAAAACTGTTTTGCACAAATCTCCATTTGACGTACTAAAAAGAATTCCATTAAGTAACAATACTGTACAAAGACGCATTGATGAAATGAGCTCTGATATCGAAAGCTTTTTGTGCAATCATCTGCAAAAAACTCATTTTTCTATACAACTGGACGAGTCAACGTTACCCAGTAATGAAGCATTACTATTGGCATATGTCCGATTTATTGTTGAGGAAGAAATTCACGAAGAATTGCTATTTGCCAGAACTTTGGAGACTGACACTAAAGGCGAATCAATATTTAATGTCCTGAGTAATTTTTTTACGGAAAAATCGATCCCATTTACAAACATTATTTCAGTGGCAACAGACGGAGCTCCTGCAATGGTCGGGCGATATCGTGGGTTTATAAGTCATCTCAAAAGAATTATACCAGGACTTACAGCTATTCATTGCGTAATCCACCGACAACATCTTGTGGCAAAACATTTAAGTGACAGGTTGAACCAATCTCTTCA